GGGAGACTAGGTGTGGAAAAGAAAAGGTTTAATTTCATCAAGCCCTGGGAACATGTTCCAAGACACCATCCACTAGAGTCAAAGCATTTTGGTGAAGACGAGATGAGATTACATACCTGTCAACTTCATCACGTGTCACAATATCACCTTTCTTCAAGGCTTTGATGGCATACAGTTTACCTGACCTCTTATACTCTGCTAGCAGCACCTTGCATCAAATACAAGAAACAGATTTAATGTTTAAGAGAGAGAGGTTATGTACTGCAAAGTTAAAAAAATACTGGTGGCTTAGTAGATGCACACATGGTATAAATTAGAAAATCCTAGGTGTCTTCCTTCTTGAGTTATCGGAGTTACAGGATTTTCAGAAAAACGTGATCTCTGACCTCAGCTTTGAGGTCAAGGTCACTGAGATTTGAATTCAGATTTGCAATCACTACATTGCAATAGTTGCATATAAATTGTATTCCATGATTAATGAAATGTTGCAGTCCCACTGTTGCCTTACAAATATAGGAAAGTAAGTTTGATGTATACCTTTCCAAAGTGACCTCTCCCTAGGACTGAAATACACTTGAAGTCTTCTATTTGAAGCCCTTTATCCTTCCTGCATGAGGATACAAAAGTGCATGTTTATGTCCTGAAAGATTCATTCATTGATTTCAGAGAAAAAATAAAAATCAGTGCCTTTGTTAGCAGAAACTAGAGAAGCAAACTTCAAACATTTATGTTACTGAGACGTGAACCTTCCTTTTGGATCCCAAATGAACATCTTCAAATATTTCATCTACACAGAATATCTACACATATCGACACAGAACCTTTAGATGTATATTACTTTAGAACTGGAACCACAGGAAGTTAAGTGTGGTTTATTTTTTACTTATTTCACAGAATGAAATAAAATCTTGGGTTGGTGATCTGGAGTACCCAAAAACTGTCTAATCAAACCTAACAAATTCACAAACATTAAAATAAATAAATAAATAAATATGACTTACAGTGTAGGTGGAAGAACAGACGGTTGTCTCTTTGGCTTTGGGCTCTTGTTCTCATTGGAAGACTGTTTTTTTTAGCAAAACGAAAATAGATGAACTGACAGAAAGTGAATCCACACAGAAAAACAAGAGCAGTATGCGAGCCAACGCTGTAAATTCCCTCCACACCATCCATGAATTCAGAAGAGAGGACTGATCCCAACCCAGATTACTTTAGGATACTTTCTAGAAAACATTATGATAATGCGTTTCAGTTTTTATTACTTTAATTTGATGTCTATTTGTAAAGATATGACGCCAAAGTTTAGATTTTGTCCTCTCTCACAATACTAAATATTTTTTGCATAAATTCCTGGATCCAGAACTGGATGAACTCCAAAAGGTTGTCACATCTGAATTGAACCATGCACCAGTACTGTAACCACTTTCATTCAAATCATCCATAACTTTTTGAATAATTCTGGTAACAAACTGAAACAAACTAGAATAATCACTTGTCTCCTCAGATCATAGATGATTAGTTTAGTTATTTTGTTATACACGTTACAAATGCATCTAGTGTTTGTATCCATTTGTCACGCAGACGTGAAGCTTACCAGTGGGGAGTTTTTACTGTTCTTTCTTATGGAATGTGGAGATCTGCCTGGTGGTTCTTCAGCAAAATTCAGACTCATTACTTCAGGTTCTCTTAAATAAACCAAAACAAAATATAGTTTATTACACTGTACCATTCTGCAGTTATTGTCTTGAATTAAGAAACTGACAAATAAATAATTAAAAATGATACAAACTTCAATAAATAAAAAGGGCGAGCCATTAGAAAAAAGAAAATATTAAATATAAAAAAAATATTAAATTTGTCTCATATATTAATACAACAGAAATCAGATCAAACCTGAAAACAGGTCTATATTACAAGCGGTACTTAATCTAAAGTAGACCCATCTCCATCTGTGTGGAGCCTGCATGCTCCCCATGTGTCTGTGAGG